ATTTATAATTATATCAATTCCGTTTATTATTCGACGGAGTTAATCAGTTCGGTTTATCAGTTCGATTAATATTATAACATCTATGTGTATAAAAATATGGAATGCATCGAGGCATAAAGAAATAGTTATTTATCGACATGAAGAAAAATATGAATAATTTTGAAAGGTATTAAAATTTTACGAACATACATACGTATTATTTACGCATTACTTTTTACGTTCGTTGAGTCGAGTTGTGAACTCGCTAAGTCGTTTTAATAACCTTGGCATATCAGCGTCATGTTGACTTACCGTCGATTCACCATTTGATTCCTCCCTCCGCCTATGGCTCTGTTTCACTGTGTCCTTTATTTGAAAATTTATATATATATATATATACACATACATACACGTATATATACACTCATATATACATACACAGATACATCATGCATCTTGTGCATGTTTTATGCACGCACGAACATATACGTACGTATGTATGTACATACATTTACGCACTCAGTCGCACCTTGTTATAACAGTAGTAGGGCAGAAATGTTGTAAGGCCAAGGGCACGCTACTAGAATCGTGATTCACGTAGCAAGAATGGAATTGAAAATTGTTGTCCCTGAGCCACGAGTTTTCTCTCTCTTTCTCTCTTTCCTCTCTCTCTCTCTCTCTCTCTCTCTCTGGAATTCTATGCAACAATACCGTCGTTGTTTCAAAGGTCACGTTTTTTCTTTACCTTCTGAAGCTATATAAACGTATGAGTATACATGTAATTATATTCACGTGGATCATGAACGTATACACATATGCAGTAACAAAACTTGTCCTTATTTTATAACGATCTATCTGTAACATTACATGTTTATTATTACATCATGTGTTGATATTCTTCGTTACGTCGATATGTAATCGTTCGCATTACATTTCCTTATTACTTTTTTTTTTTTTTTTTTTTTTTTTTAGCTCTCTCACGTTCGTAATAATAAGCATTTTGTTGTTCGGGAGAATTGATATATTATTAAAACTTGATATCAGAGTTTTCATTTGATCGTATAAATTAATTTTGTATAAACAATTTTTTGTTATCTTTAAAATAATATTATATAATGTGTAACTTATAGTTATCAATTAGCTTATAATTTTTGTTAATAACAATTGAATTATTTTTGTCGATGAACAAATAAAATAAGACAGATATTTATTTATATATGATATATATATATATATATATATATGTGAATGTGGCCATTTCAATGTTACTCAGCATTAAAGAAAAGTAAATTTTTCTTATTCGATTATTTGGATCATGGATATTTTTCTTTTCTCTCGGTTGAACAATTTTTAATTTTTCTTTTTTCTCTTCTCCTTTTTCTTTTTCTTTTTTTTGTTCTTTTTTAAATCTCACAAATATAGAATTTTATTGAAAATTAAATGCACGTTTACATATATGTCTATATGTATATGCACGTAGACAGATGTATAATACATACGTACGTACATTTGCGTTAATAGTAGTCGTTACATAATTAAGGACGATCTAATTAATTGTTTTCATCTATGTATCTATTAATTATACACCAGCAAATGGAAGCGTGTAATTTAAACGACAACGTAATACTCTGACGTAGCTGTTAAAGATTATTCTCTATTAAGACGTTCTAACGTTCGTAAATTAAAGAAGGAATCGATCTTACTACTTTATCATCCGTTTTATTCTCATAATTTCTTCATTTTATTATCGTCAGAATTAAAATTTTTTTATTATACCATTTATACGATTATTATCATTACAAGTAAGAATATATATATATATATATATATATATATATATATATATATATACATATATATAGTTGTCTGTTATTACCTGTGTTATTTCATTTTTCTTATTTAATTAACTTCAATTTAATCATCCTCTATGTACACAGTTTATTCACACTTATTTATAGAACATATATAAAATAAAAGTTCATCTCTTTTTCTCTCTTTATCTCTCTCTCTTTCTCTTTTTCTATCTCTTTCTCGGAATATGAGAGAATGATAGAATAATTATCTAAATTGTTAACATTTTCAATTATAGTTATTTCATAATATTTCCTTTAAATTTTCTTTCTGTTGCATATAATATATATATATATATATTTTTTTTTGTCGGTCATTGAAAAGGATTAAAATAAATAAGCTACACATTCTTTCTTTCCCTCTCTCTCTCTCTCTCTCTCTCTCTCTCTTTTTCTCTGTCTGATTAGATACGAATTGAAAATAATTTCGCGAGTTAATTCTTTCGAAAATAAATCGATGGACATTGGCGTTATCGCGGCGGCAGCGAATACTCTATCGTGGAATTCTCTTGGAATTTCGGGTCGGTTACAGCATGAAAAATTGTAAGAACCTTTGAGAAGTTCGTAGGTAGGTAAAAGGTAAAGGTAAAAGGGGACTAAGAACCCTACCGCCTCAGGGAACATACCATATGCGAGGCGCGCGATCAGTATCGTCAGTTTTACCTATCTCTTTCTCTCTCTCTTTCTCTCTTTTTCTCTTTCTCTCTTGCGTATATACATACATACATACGTATATATATCTACGAACACATACTTATATACACAGCTGCTATTCGTGCATACGTGCAAATACACATATATTGATGCACAAAAACAGTGTGTGTGTGTGTGTGTGTGTGTGCGTGCGTGCGCGCGCATATGTGCGAGCGCTTCCGGAAACCGAGGAGCCCATCCGGCGTGCAGGTAACGCGTATGGTGGTGGGGGAGGAGTAGGAGGTCGAGGGGGAGAGGCAGCGCATTCCGAAACGCATCCTGTAGCATCGGCGAATCTTTCGTGCGCACGCGTGCTATTCACGCGTCTATACTTTTTTATACGCGTGCGTGTGCGCATGCAAACACATTCATTCCTAAGCTTTGACACATACTCGTCTATCTACACATACATACATGCATGTATATATATATATTCCTATGTGCACGCAAGCGCGCGATCACGTACGCACGAACGCACACATATACGTATGTATACGAACGCGATAATGCATCGTCTTAACTCGTTTCAAGATGTTTAAACAACTTATATATATATTTCAATGAAATACATTTCGTTAAATTTATATGTTAACTATTAAATAAATAATTGTATTATTGTATTAAAGAAGATAAACAATAATAATATAACGAAGTTTCTATATAGGGCGTAATATTTTTTAATATATTTTTTATCAATTATATATCTTTTATCAATTAATGATTATTTAAATTAAATGAGCTACAAATACTTTCTCTCTCTCTCTCTCTCTCTCTCTCTCTCTCTCTCTTTTTATTTTCAAATGAAAACATTAAGAATCCTTATCCTTCTAATATATGTATATGAAAAACACGTACCATTGCGAGTGAAAAAGAAAGAAAGAGAGAGAGAGAGGTAGGGGAAGAGAGGGAGAAAGAGAGGGAGAGAGAGTTAATTTTTTTTTGATAAAACTAGATTAAGGGAACCTGTTCTCAATGACCTTGACCTTGGCATATGTTGTCAAGGTCACCGTTCTGTGTAACTATTAAAAGGTCTTCTTTGCTGTCGCTCGTTAATGTAATGAAATGCTATTATCTGTAAAAGAATTTTCACGAATTTTGTTTAATTTACAGTGACCGTGTACGTTTTATAAAAATACATATATATTCTTAACCAATTCATTTCTTTTTTTTTTGTTTTGTATGTGTAGTAAATCGAATACGTAGGCGGGGCATCCTTAGCCTGAAAAAAAAAATGAACTTAACCCAGCCCATCTTCTAAATGTGAAAAATGATTCGTTAGTTAGTCCTTCGAAAATTTTACCATTTAATATTTGAGAAAATATATCACCGCGTATATGATCTTCGAAAAATTATTTTAAAAAATAATCGAGTTTCGAGGAAAAAATCTTTTTCTCAGTCCAGACGCAACCCAGGCCATAATCCCCGCCCATTCTTACGATTTTTTTTTACAATTTATTACACATAAATAAAAAAAAAAAAAAGAAATGAATCTGTTAACAATATATTTTATAAAACGTATGTAATTATTTAGATCGTTTTCGAATATTACAAAAAGTTCATGAAAATTTTTTTTTTTTCTTTTTTTTTTTTCTTTTTTTTTTTCTAACAACTTATTTACTAAACAATGAGAGCTACGTTGGTTAAGATCTTTCGATTGTTACTTCGAACAGTGACCTTGACAACCATATGTCAAGGTCAAGCAAAACATCGTTAGCTGGCTCCCCTAATGTAAAACTTTTTCTTTTCTTTTTTTTTTTTTTTTTTTTTTTTTTATTTACTCGCACTTCTAATCGTTCGATATTTTTTCTATTTTCTCTTTCCCGTTTCTGTCTGTCTTTCTTTCTTTCTTTCTTTTTTTTCCCTTTTTTTCTTCTTTTTATTTATTTTGGATTGATCTACAATGTACAAGTTAAATAGGTATTTATGTCTCTCATTGTCAGTTAAATTATGCTTCTCTCTCTCTCTCTCTCTCTCTTTTTCTTCTTTGAGAGCACGCTCTCGGGAGAATAAAATTAGGATGAAACACGTGACGGGTAGACGAAGAGGAATTCCGTGTCTTCTTTTCATTCTTTCTTTTTTCTTTTTCTTTTTTTTCTTTTTCTTTTTTTTTTCCTTTTTCCTTTTCGTTCATAACTTGGAAGGTCGGACAAGGTCGGATATGATTACCTCCGTATATACCAAAGGAAGGGAACGTGGTCGAACGATGTTTTTTACAGTCTATTGTGAGAAGAAGAAAAGATATATTTTTTATTTGTGGACTGTCCAATCTATCGATTTTAGTTTCTTTATTAATTTTGAATCTTATCCTCCCTCCGATAAATTAGAAAGTACAGTGAGAGAGAGAGAGAGAGAGAGAGAGAGAGAGAGAGAGAGAGAGAGAGAGAGAGAGAGAATAAGAGAATAAGAATTTCTTTCTTTCTTCTTTTTTTCTTTTGAAAGGACTGCTCTATTTCTTCCCTCTTTTTCTTTTTATTACAG